GTTATCCTGCATCCTTTATTGAAGGGACTTTTCTTTCTCTTTTGGATATTCTTGGCATTTCTGTGTTGAAAATGGCTTGTCCCTAGAGGGATGACGGTTCCATCACTTTGCTCAAGCCTCAGTTCGCCGACCTGCGAGTTACGTGTTGCAGGGTTTGTAACACGATAAGCAGATTGAATGGGAGTTCTTCTTCTCTCCCTCCCCTTCTCCTCCCCCTGTCTTCTCTCTGTGTGACTGTCCACTAAAACCCCAGCTTCGGGTGACAGGTCTGCTCTGCAGGCCAGAAGGTGATCATGATGGTTACTGGAGGGTGATTTTAGATATGCAGGGACTCTCAGCCATATCTCCATAGTATGAGTTGAAGAACTGGCATAAGAACAAAGCTGAATTCATATGGAGACACAGTAATCCTAGAAATTCAGGCAGGATCACAAATTTGAGGCCAGCCTCAGCAACGTAGTAAGACCCTGTCTCAAAATAAAACATAAAAAGGGCTTGGGATATGGCTCAGTGGTAGAGCATTCCTGGGTTCAATCCCCAGTACAAAACACACAGTAGGACTTGAGTATGACCCAGCACCATCTTATGCAATCTGTCATTTAAAGTTAGGAAAACTGAGGCCGGGGGCCGGGGGAGGCGACATGGCCCTAAACAGCCCTTTTGCAGCACAAGCAGGGAGCTGAAACATGGCTCAATGGTGAGATCTGCTGAAGATCTTTTCCTTTTCTCTTCAATTTGCATGTTCTGCTTGCTCCTACCCATGCGAAAAGGATGTTTATGAAATATTTATTGGTGTGTTCGCCGGTGGAATTCTGTACCCGTTTGCAGAACTGTCCTCCCTAAACCCAATGAAAAGAACCAAAGTATCTATTATGCATTTTTTGGATAAAAATATTCTCTTATTCTGTTTGGAGATATTCTGAACATAGTTGTTTATTTAATTATAGGTTTGGCTCATTTTCCATTTATGGGCTTGACAAATATATTAAAAAATTTAAGCCTGCAATAATATTTACTAGCAGGTTTTAATTATTTTAAGGTTTTAATTTTAAGCTTAACCAGTGGTAGCTATTTTTCTCTTATAGTTTTATTTTTCTTGAACAGCATGGTTCCTTTGGATTCCTGAAGCCATGAGGCTTTTTTTTTTTTTTTTTGTACCAGAGATTGAATCCAGGAGTGCTTAGCCATAGAGCCATATCCCCAGCCTGTTTTTTCTGTTTCTGTTTGTGAGATAGGGTCTCCCTAGTTGCTCAGGGCTTCACTGAATTGTTGAGGCTGGCCTGGAACTTGCAATCCTTCTGCCTCAGGCTTTCCAGTCACTAGGATTACAGGCACACACCACATGCCCCACAGTGCTGCAGGCTTACATCTTGTTTTTAAAAGAAACTTTTTTTTTTTGTTCAGGGAGAAGGTGGGAGGTACACCCTCCTGGTCCACCCCTTCCCAGCTCTGTGACCCTGGTTGAGTTTCCGACTCCTTCTGAGTCTCACTTTACTCCTCTGTAAAATGGGAATAATAAAACATAGTCGTCATCCTGTCGTGGTGGTGCATGCCTGTAATCCTAGCAGCTTGGAAGGCTGAAGCAGGAGGATGCCTGGGTGGTCCATCGGAGCTTGAGGATGGTGTAGGCTGGAGTATAGTGCCCAGGGTAAGAGTGGTAGTGATGGTATTGGAAAATGAGCGAGGACATTGAATGTTTTCTTTTTGGGGGAAGAACCAGAGAGGGTTTTTAAAAAATATTTTTATTAGTTATTGATGGACCTTTATTTACTTATTTGTTTATATGCGGTGCTGAGAATAGAACCCAGTGCCTCACACCTGCTAGGCAAGTGCTCTTCCACTGAGCCACAACCTCAGCTCCCAGGGAGGGTTTTTTATGTTTTTATTTTGCTGGGCTGATTATTGAACCCAAGGTTGCTGTACCCTAGAACTACATCCCTGGCCCTTTAAAAAATTTTGAGACAGGATCTCTTTGGCTATGAATTTACAATCCTCCAGCCTCAGCCTCCAGAGTAGCTGGGATTATAGGTGTGCTCCACCATACCTGGATGATGTTACTTCTCTAAAGCTAGATATAACTTGTGGCAGGGCTTTTCACCCTTGACACTATTGACATATTGGGCCACATAATTCTCTGTTGCCAGGGGCTGTCCTGTGCACTGTGAGATGTTTAGCAGCATCTTTAGTTCTACCCACTAGATGGTAGCACCCCCCTCCCCCATTGTGACAAACTAAAATGTCTGTAGATGTTGCCAGATGCCCCCCTGGAGGCTCAGCTGCCCATGGTTGAGAATGGCTGGTCCATGTCATCAATGTACTTTATTTTGACCATGTCCCCATCAACTGCTCCACAAGGTTGCAGAGACCAGGGGTGTTTGTAAATATTTGTGCCTTTATTTGAGGATTTTTGTGGGCAGCATCAAGTCTAGAATTGCTGGGTCCAATATTGTATTGGGGGCTCCTCTACAGCGTAGAAAGGGCTGGGGGGCAATCTAAAGAGACAGGCAGAGAGCTTGTCACGAGGTACATTTACATAGTAAGGACATTTAAAGAAGATTTAAATTGTGTTTATTTATATAGGCTAAGGGGGAGAGTATCAAAATATCACACTGTGCCTCATAAATATGTGCAGCTATTATATATCAATTATAGTAAAAAAAATATAAAAGTTGGGGAAGAGGAGGGTCACCAAAGCTCCCAGAAGCCTCTTCCTTTCTTTCTTTTTCTTTTTTTTTTTTTTTTTGGTACTGGGGATTGAACCAGGGGTGCTTAACCACTGAGCCCCATCCGCAGCCCTTTTCATTTTGAGACAGGGTCTTGCTAAGTTGCTCAGGGTCTCACTAAGTTGCTGAGATCTTCCTGCCTTAGCCTCCTGAGTTGCTAGGATTATAGGCGTGAGCCGCTGCACCTGGCTCCTAGCAACCACTTTCTTTGGGTGCAGCTGCTGAATGACAGGTAGACATTCTGATCTAACAGATACTGTACATTTGTGTTTGTGTGTGCGATGCTGGGGATGGAAACAGGGCCTTGAACATGCTAGGCAAACACTCTACCACTGAACTGCATCCCCCACTTTGTACATTAATCCATGAAATAGCTACTCTTCAAATCCTTTTAATAAAATGGATTTTCTTTCCATGATGAAAGCATCATATGGCCCAAAGTAGAAATGTTTGAAATGACAAGGTATAAAAGTGGAGGAAATTAAACTCCCAATGATGTTACCCCAGACAACTCCCCATTCTGGTGTTTTTCCTGTTTTCCTTTATGAAGATGTAATTAAAAAATATAATGGTGGGACTGGGGATGTGGCTCAAGCGGTAACGCGCTCGCCAGGCATGCGCGGGGCGCTGCGTCCAATCCTCAGCACCACATAAAAATAAAATAAAAATGTTGTGTCCACTGAAAACTGAAAAGTAAATATTAAATAATTATTTATTTAAAAAAATATATAGTATGTTTTGCACCCTTTATTTTTCTCTTACCTATAAGCTGTTTCTCATGCCAGTAAAACTCTTAAATAATCCTGTTATAACTTGGACTTTAAAGGTCCGAGTCAATACCCCATCCCGTCTCTGGAGTTGGATGCCGGAGGCTTGAGTTGGGCAGAGCTGGGTGGGGGTACTGGTCTCCCCATGCCTTCCTGGGTTTCTTCTCTGCAAAGTGGAGTGCTGATGACTCTGCCTTTGGAGACTGTTCAGGTCGGGGACCAGAGACTTGTTCTTCTGGGTGCCTTGCTCTACACAGAAGCTTAACAAATGAATTAGAGTGAGATTTTTCCCTTCCAATCTTCTATTTTCCAAGTAGACAAGAGGAAGTGTCTCTGTGTTAAGTGATAGTTTGACTACCAAATCTTGCTAATTTCTTTTTTATAAAACCCGCACACCCAGTTGAAGCCTCACAGCCTGCAGGCAGGCAGGCATCATCATCTAACTAGACTAATTCTAGAACTTTATCTCCATAGGTGTGTTTTTTTTTTTGAGTCGGGGGAGGGTACTAGAAATTGAACCCAGGGGCGCTTAACCAACTGAGCCACATCTCCAGCCCTTTTTGAGACAGGGCCTCACTTAGTTGCTTAAATTGGCCTTGAATTTGAGATTCTCTTGCCTTAGCCTCTGGAGTTGCTGGGATTACAGGCAAGTACCACGGCTCCTGGCCCAGGTTTGATTTTTCTAGTTTCTCATGCATGTGTTTAAAGGCACAGAGCTTCTAAAACCATGGCTGAGCTAGCCATTTTCCAAGCTCCCACTTCTTCACCACGCCTTTTGAAGGAGATTAGAAGAATTTGATAGTGAATGTTGTTCATTATGTCAAAAATTAAAAGTGCACACTAAAAGACAGTGGGTGTATCCATGGCTGTCAAAAGAGTGACATCATCTAGATTAATAACATATGACTTTTAGACTACAAAGTCTTCCCAAGCCAATTAATGAGTTAAGTGGAATTCCCCAGCTAGAGGGATTTATCTTTGCATGTCCTCAAAAGGTAAGCCCTGGAGGGAGGGGTGATAGGGATCATGTGATTGCTACCTACAGTCAGGGCGTTTCTTTTCTTGAGGGCTGGGGATGGACCTTGTGTATGGTAGGCCAGTGCTCTCTACCCCTGGGCTGCCTCTCCAGCACTGCTCCTGTTTTAAATGAAAGTTTAGGTAAGTCACATGGCCTGAAGGAGGGTCAAACCAGGCCTGGATGGCTGCCAGGCCCCTACTGTCTTATCTAAGCAGATCCCCAAGTGAAACAGTAATAATGTTGACACAGAAGAGAAGCCAGAATTGTGTGGACATCAGACTGTCTATCTGAAATTTTAAGTTCCTTTTCACAGGGGCTGACATGCCCTCCTTCCTGGAGGGGACAAGCTGATGGAGAGCACCTGGTGAGATGTCCCGTTCCACACACACACACATGCCACACCTGACCCGTTCTGCCCAGCTGTGCTGGTTTCCCTGGCATTGACCCTGGAGTTTCTGCAGGGTCTAACCCCAGTCTCTCCACTCCTTCCAGGATCCACGGATGATGAATGCCAGAAGCTCCTGTGTAAGTGTGACAAGGAGATTGCTTACTGCCTAGCCGGTACCAAGTACAACTTTAAGTACCTCTTCTATCCCCAGTCTTTATGTGAGAAGGACTCACCCAAGTGTGACTGACTCAGTGTTCGTTTGCAAAAGGAAATAAAGCTCCCTTTCATTAATGAACAACAGAATTCAGTTTCTGGAGGAGGCAACTGAGGCCAAGTGATAAAGCCACGTGAGCCTTGTGTTTGCCTTCCGGCCTGGAACTCAGATTGAGTGTTCGGCTTCCAGTTTGATGAAGGTCAAAAGTCCCATTCCTATTTTATAAAACCATGACTGTGTTGAGCTTGGTATCGTTTTCTGTGGTTAGTTCGACTTTTTTGAAAAGGTGGGTTTTGTCTTCTCACTTGCTGCTGATGGCTGGTGGTCAAATGAGCGCCGATACCTGCTAGGCACTTGGCCATGTTGTAGGCTTTGTGTCGGCAATAAACAAGACACACAGGGGACACTCCCCCTTGTGAAGTTCAAGTCTCATAGCTGTTTGCTTAACAGAGTATTCCCCATCCCACTCCACCCTGAACAGTTTCCTGGGGAGGACAAACCCCAGGAGTTTGAGGCCAGCCTGGGAAACATAGTGGGACCCCATCTCTAAAATAAAATAAACATTATTTCCTGGGCTGGGGATTTAGTTCAGTTATAGTAGAATGTTTGCCTAACAAGCATAAGGCCCTAGGTTTGGTCCCCAGCATCACACACACACATACATACATTTAAAAAAGTTGTTTACTGATTTCCAAGGTAGTACATGCTCATTTATTTGGGGCAGGGAAAGTAAAAGAAAAGAAAATACAGAACAACAGAAAAAAAAAAAAAAACCCAAATCACTCCAATCCCCACATGGGGAATACACTTTCAAGTATTTTAGTGTGCTGTTCACTGGTCTTTTCTATAGTTTTTAAAAAAGTAGTTGACACACTATGATTTTTTCATAAGGTTTGTGCCATGTCATTAAAACAAAAAGCCTTTTGGAAACCTCCTCTTGTATTAGACAAAATTTTCCCCCCAATACTGGGGATTGAACCCAGGACCTCCAGCATGCTAGGCAAGGGCTCTACCAGTGAGCCACACCCCAGTCCATTTTATTTTTCATTTTTTTTTTTAAAGAGAGAGTGAGAGAGAGTGTGAGAATTTATGTTTTTTAGTTCTCGGCAGACACAACATCTTAGTTTGTATGTGGTGCTGAGGATCGAACCTGGGCTTCACGCATGCCAGGCGAGCGCGCTACCGCTTGAGCCACATCCCCAGTCCCTTTATTTTTCATTTTGAGAGAGGATTTTGGGATGTTACTCAGGCTGGTCTGGAACTTCCAATCCTCCTGCCTCAGCCTCTTGGGTAGCCAGGATTACAACTGTGCACCATTATACCTGAACAGATGCCACTGTGTAGATTGCCAACTTTTGGATTTTGGAGTATTTCCTGTTTCAATCAATCCTTGTGATGGGATGCCAAAGAATAAATATTCCTCCCAACACTTCTTAATTTTTCTTTGGCTGGATTTGGAGAAATCCAATCACAAGGTCTAAATATTTCACATGGAAACCCATTATGATCCTCCTAAGCCACCTTGATTGACAGCAGGGAGGAGATGTGAGAGGAGCCCTGATCTTAGCATGTCTATCTCTGCTGGCACTAAGAAGCAAGTGCCCAGTCTACCTGTTTGTTTGGCCAAATCTTCTTTGTCCTCCCTCCCAGAGATCTGGTATTAACTCATCTTAGAAGGGGGTTTGGGCAGTGTGGGAGGCCAAGAGGTGGGGGTTGGGGGTACAGGTCTGGGATTCTGGCAACCTGTGGTCTAAACTGGGGCCAGCTGTACCCATGCCAAATAGCTCCCACTTTTTCACTGAGAAAGAATACCAGTAACCCCATAGGGCCAGGGATGTACACACTGTGGGTCCCCTAGTGTCTCTGGCATTCAGAGTGTGAAAAGGTAAAGTTAGGCAGTCCTGGAGCCTGATGAGCAAACAAGGAAGAACATTCTCCCTCTTTCTACAGAAGACGCCTTGGCTCAATGTGGGTCTGCATGAAGCCTGAGACTTTAGTAGGACCAACAGATTATATTGGGCAATGTGAATTTGTGTTTCCTAAACAACCAGTTTTTTTTCCCCCATACAGAGCATTTATCTGTATAAAAATCTTTATTTTTATTTCAAGTAATTTCTCCAAACTTTAAGATGAAAAGTTTGAGTGAAATCTTCACTTAAGTGTGGAAGGGGTTAATGAATGGTTCATGGAGCTCCCCCACACTGTGGATGCGGGTTTTCCTCTCCAGGCAGTCCATAGCTCACACTTCACACTTGCAGTTTTCACACTGAGGAAAACAAAGGCAGCCCTTCCTCCCACTCTGTGTGCACAATTACAGCACTTGGTATAATTATGCCAGCTGCTCACATACCACAAGAGGTCAATAAAGATTACACATTATACAGTGTGAGGTCAATTTATAAAATGTTTCCTTCAATGCATGAATGCAGAGTCTACCCTGGATATTACAGATTAAATTCTGAAAAACAAAACAAAACAAAACCCCAAAGCAATGCCTTTAAGCAGCCTGATGCAGCTTAGCCTGAGGGGAGCTCTGGGTGCTGCCTGACAGCCACTCAAGCCCCAGCTCAGAGAAAGGGAGCCCCACCCCAAACAGAAAACAAACAAACCAACAATAACAATGACAAAAAAACAGTGAGGAAAAGCCGACCATCATTCTAATCTCAAACTGAATCATTTTAGAGGTTTCCTCTGAAACCCAGCAACTACCCAACCAGACAGAATTGTTGATTGGATTCTGGGTCCCCCCCCCCCCGCCCCTTTTTTTTTAATGTGTAACTTTTTATGCCTATGACAAAAACCCTATCTCTGTCTTCCTAAACTTGACATACAGGACAGGCCTGGCCCAAACAAGCCTGGTCTTGGCTCTAGGAACCTGTCATTAACTGAGGCAGGGAGGGAGATGCCGATGTGGTGGCCTTCTGACGTCACCCACACTGTGTCCTCTGAGGACCCTGAGTCCTGCCAGTCAGGTCCCTGTGAGGCGATGGCTGTGTGGGCCACAGACAGTCCTCCATGTACTGGGGTGTTAGCTTGCTGCCATGGTGTGCCACAGGCAGAGAAGAGAGGACCTGGTTGAAGCCTTTGTCATACAAAGCAGCACCTTGTTTACCATGGGTAGAAACAGGAAGTCTCCTCTTCCCTCACCCTCCAAAGCATCAGCTCAGGCACTGGGGAGACTGGAGGACCCACTCAGAGCCCGGACAGTGCCAGTCACAACACTTGCGTTTCCAGTCTTCGAACTTCCTTGACCACGAGATCAATGTTAATGATTGGGTTGAAATACAGGGCCCAGTAAAACAAACAGTTGCACACAAACTGGGGGATGAGGGGCCAGAACATGGCCACAAAAAGCCCCTGTGTTGACACTTTCCAAAAATGGCTCCACATCCTCTGAGGAAGTGTCCTGAAAAGAGAAGAGAAATGGTTCAGGGCAGTTCAGGTGCTCAAGGGCTCAGATCTGGGTTGCGCTCTCCACGTCCCTGGCCCACAGAGACCTTGTCTTCTGTCCCCAGGGCCTGAGACACACCTTTGCACAACCAACTCCTTTTTGGCTCCCAGGAACAGACTATGGGTGCTTCCTCAGGGCACTGCTGCCTGGTCCTCGCACCACACACCTGGAACCTGAGCTGTTCCATCGCCATCCCACTTCTATGTGTTTCTTTCTTTTTATTTATTTATTTTTAGATTTTTTTTTAGTTGTAGATGGACACAATACCTTTATTTATTTAATTTATTTTTGTGTGGTGCTGAGGATCGAACCCAGCGCCTCACACATTTGAGGCAAGTGCTGTACCACTGAGCCCAACCCCAGCCCTTCTATGAGTTTCTTAACATACATACTTTCTTTGCGAGGCTGTAGGTTCTTAGTATAGACTGTTGTATTTTTACCAAAAGATATGCAGGGTCCCACAGAGAGCCAGGGGTATAGCAGGGTCATGAATATGCATACTCTCTGCATGAATAAATGAGTTTGCTGAATAAAAATCCACGAGGGATTCCTGGCAGATTCCCAGAGCCATTTATTTGGCTGCTTCTGACTGATGATGTTGAGAATCCTGCAAGTCATGGATGTCGGGATGAAAGGAAGTAGCAGATATATTACTTCTGTCTACTCAGTATTTGTCCCCTTCTGGGAAAATCTTCTGAGTTTTGCTTTGGGGATATCTCCCTCCCCTAGTCTTCCTATTCTGGGTGGGCAGGGGGTACTGGAGATTGCCTGAAGCATGCCACACACTCTGCCACACCTCAGCCCTCCTTCCTCTATTCTTTCCATGTGGAATGATGGGTCAGAGTGGAACCAGCTACTAGCTGTGGGGTAAACACATGTCTGAGCCTGAACAAGGAAAGTCCTACACATGGGATCCAGGCTGGGCCAACCAGAGCAAAGGCACATGGGCTCTGAGACTTGTTACAAGTGTCACAGGGAAAGAAGGGCTTCCATCCCACCAGGGGGAGGCTGGTAAGGTGGTCCAACCAAAGTCTGGAGCAGCAGAAGGCTCTCATGTGAGAAGAGCCAATGACAGGCTAAATTACGGGAAAGAATAGCACCAGGAGAGGGAGACAGTCAGCCTGAGGACAGCACCTGGGTCTCTGGGGCCAATCCCACCTGCTGCCCTGAATGGGCACTTCCTTTTTAGGAAAGCCAATTTGGACTAGTTTTTGTCACTTGCAACCAGAGACTGTCTTGTCTAATGCTCTCATTTCCTGAATCAATCTAGAAGCTATTCTTGTCCCAGTTGGTGGCAGAGCATGGTCAGATGCATGCCTACAGAATTCCCTAACAGGTCTATGTTCTAACATACTACTGTTTTCCACAAAGGACCCTCTTCTTCTCACTTGCTTATTCCTTAATTAGTAAAATCCTTCACATATACACACACCCCATGGGAATTGTTGTTTGGATCTGGAATAGAATTAGAGACTCACAGGTTGAAGGCTTGGTTTCAGTGCAGCAATATTCAGAGGTGAGGCTTTTGGGAAGTGATTGAATCATGAGCTCATCAACAGATTAATCCATTGATGGATTCAGAGCTATTGGAGGTGGCAGAAATTATAGGAGATGGGACATGGTTGAAGGGTGAGTCCTTGGTAGCATGCCCTTGGGGTCTACATCTTGGCCTGGGTCCCTCTTGTCCTTGCCTCTCTCACTCTGCTTCCTGGCTACCATATGTGAGCAGCTTTTCTCAGCCACACCCTTCTACCATGTTGTTTCTGCCTCACCATGGGCCTGAGAGCAATGAAGCCAGCTGACTATGGCCTGAAACCATGATCCAAAATAAATCTTTCTTCCTTTAAGTTGTTTTTCTCCCTTAGGTATTTTGTCATAGCCACAGAAAGTTAAATAACAACATGATTTGTTATTATGTGGGAATAAGATATATAGGAAAACACTTTAATAACAATGAACACAAAGAACCCCCACCTCCTAAACAGGTGATTTTCCTATTCACTGCACATGCAGTATTTCTCAAACCAGAGTCTAAAGAGTCTTGGTAGAAGAAGGAATTTTTTTCCCTTTTCAACTATGTGAAATGCTTTGAAGACCTTTCTCCTACTTGTTGTTTCTTTCCCAGCCCTGTTGCTTCATCCCTCTTCTACATAGAAACACACTTACTTCAGCTCACTTCTTGACCAGATCCTCCAAAAAGAAAATAACTCCAAAACCGAGAGTAGCATAGCGTTAACAATGAGAAACCGTGATGTCCAGTAGTGGACCTCCAGCCAGTCCCAGGCAAATTCAGCAATCAGCTGGTATGGGAGGAAGGAGTATTTGACGAGGAATTCCCTCCACTGTTTCCAAGTGGGCTCTCTCAGATCCTCAAAAAAGAACACACCCAGTCACAAAAATCATGTGGACTGATTTTGACACGAGATTAATCAAGGAGCGTCACGTTTGTTAAAACACACACATACATAAGAACCTAACAATCTAAAATAATAATTTCAGCCATCAAATTCTCTTATAATAATGAACCTTAAAGAAGTTAATTGTTACCAAAAAGGTTGATCTGGGGTGCTTGTTACATAACGTGGAAGCTCAGAAGTTATATCTAGACAGGCATGTGTTATGAGCAATAGAGTAGAAATGACTTTAAATTAACCAGCGTTTTACTCTTTTGTCACTGTGTGGACAACTCAAAACACTTCCTAAATTTGACATCTTAGCTGTGGTAGAATGATAACAGAGCAGGGAAATTAAAAACAGACATCCACATACCTTAAGAAAGTAATTTTTTGGATTTGTGTGTGTGTTTTGCAATACTGGGGATTAAACTTGGGAACGCCTTATCATAGAGCTGTATCCCAGCCCTTTTTATTTTGAGAGAGGGTTTGGTTAAGTTGCTGGAATTACAGGCGTGTGCCACTGCACCTGGCTAAGTTTTCAATTATAAACATTTGCAAATAAAAAAGATAGCTTGTTGGGCTGGGGTTGTAGCTCAGTGATAGAGCACTGGCCTACAACATGTGATGCACTGGGTTCAATTCTCAGCACCACATAAAAATAAATAAAGGTATTGTGTCTATCTACAACTAAAAATATTAATAAAAAAATAGCTTGCTGACCAAGTATGGATTGATACAAATTGTTAAAAGGGAAACATTTTACAATTTCTGTGCTCCAAGTTGAGAGATAACAGCTGGAAACTGAGTATAGAGGAAATACTGTGTAAATTCATTACTCAGGTTTTAAACTACATTTAAGGACTGGGGGGTAGCTCAGTGGTAGAGTGACTGTGTAGCATGTGCAAGACCCTGGGCTAAATCCCTAGCACTGTAAAAAAACCTTTTAAAAACAAAACCTAAAAATTGCCTTCAAGGCTGAAGTCACTTGGGTGAAGTTAGTGTTTAAAAAGGTTCTTTGGAGATTTTGAAATTGTTTCAATATTGGACAGGTATGGATTATACATAACAATTCCTATACCCATGACACTTTTTAATACAAACAGATCAGAAGGATTAGCCCTATGGGAAGCAAAGCAAAGGACTACTCTCAAATGACCAACTAAACAGGGAGAAATCACCCTAGTGGAAGGAGTTCTCCAACAACTCTGAAAAGTCCTGTGGGCAAAACAGAAGAAATGGTTGCCTACTGTGGGTAGCCATCCTCAGGAGAGCCCTGAGGCCAGCAGATGTGACTAAGGTCAGCTGATGTGAGGACTCCCACCAGCCCACTGGGTGATGGCTTACTGTTCTGAGGCCATCAGAACAGTAAGGCACATATGAATCCTGTCTTGTGCAAGGACGGGTAACCATCCTTTTGGGGTCCTGTCAGCAGACAAGAAATTGCTTTTTTTTTTTTTTAAAGGAATATTTTAAGTCCAGAGGGTTACCCCTCTGGCTATGCAATGGAAAAAACTAAATGGGTTTCTGGGTGTGGGGAAAGTCTTACTTTACTTTCTTTGGCAGGGGCTCTCCCTGCAAAATTCTCTGAAGGCTAGTTATCGGTTGCTCTTCCTTGACAGCCTACAGCCACAGCTCCGATTCCACTCCAGGCACTCTGCAGACCTACCAGAAGCTTGGTGACGATGTCCTCCCCGGAGCTGTCTTCCTGCAGAGGGCAGATGGTGTGGATGAAGGGCAGGAAGGTATCTGTGTAGTCAAACAGGTACAGGTACAGCAGACCAAGTCTCGGGGAGCTCTTGAGGGCATACAGCAGGAACAGGGACCTGCCTGGGTTCACGGCCTGCAGAGGACAAGGCAGGCACAGGGCCATTACAACCACAGTGGCCAGCTCCCCACCTGTGCTCCTTCAGTGGTCTTGTGTCCTTTGCCATCAGCCTTTCTGCATGGTGTGCACAAACAATGGGTGAATGAATGGCAGGAAGAGGCCAAGTAATCCATCTGTTGGGCTACTCGGTAGAAAAATCCAATCTCTATTTGGGGCTGTTGAGAAGCTTAGAACACCTTTTGGGAAAGCAGTTTGGCAAAATATATCAGTCTTAAATGTTTAAGTTAACCAATCTGTAAGTGGGCACCACTTAATGAAAATAATCTTTTAACTAGAGAAGGCTTCACATTTCATGTTGCACTGTGTGTTAACAGTGAAAACCACGGATATCTGAGCCCTAAGCAAAGCACATGAGATATTATGCATGGAATTCAAATGTTCATTAAAATGTGAGTATGAGCCATTCACGGTGGCACATGCCTGTAATCCTAGGGATTTGGGATTGGCAGGAGTATCCAAGTGCAAGGCCAGCCTCAGCAATTCAGCAATAAAAAATAAAAAGAGTATGAGATGCTTTAGATAATGCTAACAAAGTTAGGTGAAAAAAGACTCATGGATATGTAGCAAAATGATCTTGCTGGTGTTAGCACCAGGACAGCAGGGTCTTACTAAGGTCTGTAGTCCCTTGCTGAGGAGCACCTGGCTTTCAACACACAGTCAATACATGTTTGTTGCATGAATCAACAAACAAAAGGGCTTTTTAAACTAGTCAGACTAGGAGAAAAGAGAACAAACTGCAGTGCTAATTGTGTTTGATTATGGGCAATTTCTTCACTTCTGTAAATCTTTCAAAATTTTATTATAGTGAATAAACATTTATTTTTTCCTGATTAAAAAACTTTAGAAATGATTCAACTTATTTGACTCTTAGTAGCATCAAATAAAATGGAGACTTAAGGGTGGGAGTTGTGGCTCAGTGGTAGAGTGCTTGCCTAGCATGTGCAAGGCCCTGGGTTCGATCCTCAGCACCACATAAAAATAAATAAAATAAAGGTATTGTGTCCAACTACAATTAAAAAATAAATGTTTTTTAAAAAATGCGACACTTCACCAAAGAAGATATAAGTATGGCAAGTAAGAGGTGAAAGATGGTTAATGTCATTGGTTTAATGCGTATTAAAATGACAGTAGAGACAACTGTACACCTATTAGAATGGAGAGTAGTGGGAGGGAAGATTTTCAAAGGGTCAGGAGGAAACTTCTGGGAGTGACGGACATATTGTATCTTTTTTTCTAGTCTTTCACTTGCCAGATACAGTGGCAGATGCCTGTGCCAAAATAAATTTCCCATTTGTTCTGGTTAATATTAAGAGCAGGTGTACATATTTTAATTAGGTGGTCACTGTGTGTTCATATTTAGAGGGTCAGAAATGTCATGTCAGTATTAAAAGCCATGCTAGGACCAATATTGGCTACATAAAGTCTATGGTTTAACTATATTAGCTGAATTAATAGTTTATGATAAAAAAGAAGTAGGGTTTTTTAAATTAAAAATAAACAATACAAAACAAACTTTCTACTTCAGGAACTCCATACCTGTTCTTTAAAAAGTTTGAAATAAGTTTTTTAAAAAGGCAATAAATGCACACAGTAAAAGTATTTTTTTTTTTTTCCTCAAATGATGCAGAGCTGATTAGCTGACAGAATTTCCCCTCCCATCTGATTTTATTCTCCAGACAAAGCCACTTTCAATAGTTGGGGGCTGGGAATGTAGCTCAGTGGGAGATGGCTTGCTTGGCATGCATGAAGCCTTATGTTCCATTCTTAGCATCAAAAACAGAAAAACAAAGTTTGGATATCTTTCTAGATTTTTCTATTATGTGCAAACGTATGTGTAGATACACATGCAGATATTTTCTAATGTGCTTTTCTTTTAGTTAGCAATACAAGTTGAACATCCTCTTCCTTCTTCATTTTTGCATTGTGGGTAGAACCTAGGGCCTCATGCATGCTAGACTCTACTCCCAAGCCACACCCCAGTTCTCCTCCCTCATTAGCACAGTCACCTCCTCCTTTATGAATGGGAGCTTGAATATCTGTGACTCATTTATTTAACCTATCCCTAATGATAGGGACTTGGGCTATTTTCTAAGTGCTGCCAACCAATGATGCTGCAATGAACAATTGCTGAGGTCATTTTACTGAGGAAGAAAGAGGCACAAAGAGTTGTGCGGGTACTTGCTTGTGTTCCTGCAGTCAGTGTGTCCTTGGGGAGCCTATAAGCCTCAGCAAGTGGCCCCAGAGTCTTGCTACATTCCAAATTCAGAGAAATGAAATGACAGATCAAGACCAGGTGCAGTTTAAATTGTAATGTTAATGATAAAATCCCCCCAGAGAATTGCAACTGTTCATGATCAACAGAACTCAGAGTGCCTCTTTCTTCGTATGAAATGTTCTCAACCTTGATAATGGCATAAGGGAAAAAAAGCCCAAGTCTTCTGACTAGTTTGTACTCTGTTCAACTTTGAGTGAGCATTTCCCCTCTAAGTTCATTGGCTGTTAGATATTTTTCTCCAAGATGTCTTTTTTAGGGTATGAGCTGGTACATTCCAGATATACTGTACTATACTCCCTTTACAGTACAGTAGTCACTAAATCCTGTCTGTGAAGAACCAGTTGGTACAGTTATGTTGAAGATCTATTTCTCAATGTCTAATAAGGCTGAAGATGGGCATTACTTGTGACCTAATAATTCTGCTCCTCAACATATATCATAAACTCCTGTACATAAGCCTAAGAACTTCCTAGGAGTGTCAGAGCAGAACTGCTTCTAATAGCAAAAACGGAAATTCTTGCAGTGTCCACGCACAAATCACCACACGTGTCCAATGGAAGACTGAACAAAAGAGAAAAAGAGCGGGAACTAGAGTCACAGAGACGGAAGCTACTTGCAGAAGGGTCTGCTCAAAATTCATACCTCTTGCATTAAGGTTCAAGCATGTAAAACAATGCTCCTGCTGCTTGTGGACACCACCATAGTAGACAGAAAGAAAACAAGCTCTGGAAGGATCCATGGCACCCACTGCAAGAGCACAGTTGCTTCTAGAGAGGGTGGGGTGCTAGGGACTTCAACTGTGCCTTTGCCATTTTCTTTCTTAAGTTAAGCATTGGGTATATACATGATTGCTATGTTGTACTCTATACTTTTTCTATTAAAAGAATAAATAGTTTACCTTATATTCCCAGAGATTCTGGGGGGGCTTCACACCTAGTGCCTTGACACGCTCCAGCTCCATGAGGATGGCTCTTCTGTGGCTGCTGTTTTCTATAGTATATGGTGCCCTTGAAAATTCTTCCTCTGTCAAAGTTAAAAGCAATCTGTGGAGGGGTGAGGTAGATTTCTCTTGAGATCACATACTGGAAGCAAATTTTCCACACTGAGTCCCAGTTTATCAATGACAACACTTTAAGCTTACATAGATGTAGTAGCGTTAATAACAGCAAATAACTGAATGACTACTATTTGCCAGTTACTATATAAAAATATATTTAAAAATTTCATAAATCATTACTGATACAATTTTGGGGGATCTCTTTTTTTTTTTTTTTTTTTTTGGTGCTAGGTATGAACCCAGGGGCACTTAGCCACTGAGCCACCTCCCAAGCCCCTTTTTATAAGAGACAGAGTCTTGCTAAATTGCTTAGGGCTTCACCAAGTTGCGGAGGCTGGCTTTGAATCTGTGATCCTCCTGCCTCAGCCTCCCCAGCCACTGGGATTACAGGTGTGTGCCATCATGCCCAGTGGGAAAAGAATTCTTTTTTTTTTTTTAAATATCTTTATTTTATTTATTTATTTTTATGTGGTGCTGAGGATTGAACCCAAGGCCTTGCATGTGCATGCTCTACCACTGAGCCACAACCCCAGCCCCAAGGGAAACTAATTCTTTTTTTTTTAGTTGTAGATGGACACAATATCTTTATTTTATTTTTTAATTTATTTATACATGGTGCTGAGAATCGAACCCAGTTCCTCACATATGTGAGGCAAGTGGTTCACCACTGAGCCACAACCCCAGCCTAGGAAACAAATTCTTTCTTTTCTTTTTTTTTTTTTTTAATGTTTTCATTTTTAGTTGTAAATGGACATAATATCTTTACTTTATATTTATGGTGCTGAGGATCGAAGCCAGTACTCCATGCATGCAAAGCAAGCATTCTACCACTGAGTCACAACCCCATCCTGGGAAATGAATTCTTAAAAATCAAATTAAAATGACTCCAAAGAGAGTCAAGTGTTAAAAACTCAGTGATGGGGAATGACTAAGGTGGGAGGTGGAGCAACAGGGCAATCTGGCAGCCTGGCAGACGCCACTCCTGACAGTGGCTAGTACCATCAACACCTGGTATTTACATAACCCCATACAGACACATGTATGTAAATAAATGAATGCACAAACATAAACATAGGTCTATTTAGTACAATTGTATTTTTAGTTTATGTAAAAAATTATATATATAATGGACACAATACCTTTATTTTATTTTTTAAAAAGTATGCTAGTTTTATAATCAGATTTTTTTCAGTGTTTATATCTATATAAACACTGAAAAAAATCTGAGGGTGGGGTGGAGCTTGTGGCAGAGTACAATGCTTAGCATGTGCAAGGCTCTGGGTTCAATCCCTATCACCCCTCACCCTCCAAAAATATTTTGGTCAGATATCTAGCAATATAATAACAGTAGTTTTCTCTGAAGAACAGGATTAAAGGATATTTTATTTTCAATATCATATAATCCAGGCTGGGGTTATGGATCAGTGGTAGAGTGCTTGCCTAGCATGTGTGAGGCACTGGGTTCAATTCTCAGCATCGCATACAAATAAATAAAAACAAAGGTCCATTGACACCTGAAAAAATAATTAAAAAAATCATATAACCCTATATTATTTTTTTTAAATGTATGCTACTTTTATAATCAGGAAGCAACAAAAAAATTAAAATGTCACTGACATAAAATAATATAGCCTCTGTGAAAAATAGTTAAAAACAGAGTTAGTCTATGACCCAGACATTCCACTTAGGGTATGGAAAATATATGTCCCCACAAAAACTTGCACATGAATCATCATGGCAGCAGTATTCATGATAGCCCAAAACAGAGTCAACCCAAATGTGCATTGACTGAAGAACAGATGAAGAAAATTTGGTCTATCCATACAATAAAGCATTTATTAGTCATGAAAAGGAATAAAGCACTAATATGTGCTACATCAGGGTGATCCTTGAAAACATCATGCTAAGTGAAAAGCCAAACACAAAAGGCCACATATTCTATGACTTCATTTACATGAAAAGTTCAGAAAAGATAAATCCATTTTTGGAGACAGAACATTGAACAGTGTTTTCCAGGGGATTAGAGAGGGAGAAATAAGGAGTCACTAAAGGATAGGAGCTTTCTTTTTGGGGTCAGGAAAATGTTCTAAAACTATACTGTGGTGATAGTTAAACCTATCTATGAATACATGGAAAAACTACCAACTGTATTGTATTCATTATAAATGGGTAAATTTGAGCTGGGGATAGAGTGGTTGCCTTGCACGCATAAGGTCCTGGGTTCAATCCCAGCACCACCACCCCCCCAAAAAAAAGAGGGGTGAAATTTATGACATGTATATTCTATCTCAATGAGGCCTTTTCTTTTTCTTTTGGTACTGGGCATTGAACTCAGGGTCACTCAACCACTGAGCCACATCCCCAGCCCTATTTTATTTTATTTAAAAACAGGGTCTCACTGAGTTGTTCAGGGTCTTGCTGTTGCTGAGGCTGGCTTTGAACTGGCGATCCTCCTGCCTCAGCCTCCCAAGTTGCTGGGATTATAGGCAGATGCCACTGTACCTGACTTCAAAGAAGCTTTTGCCAAAAATATCCATGGCATGTCAGAAAATATGCTCCTCACCTTCCATTCACTCTTTCAGACAAAAACCTGTCTCTGTAGAGAGAGGCCCATGGGCCCAGCTGCTCCAGCCAGAGGACAACTTCTTCCGCCGTCCATTTGGCCACAGTCTTATGGACCAGGAGGTCATGCTCAGATTCCCTGCTGCTCCAGTGATACACAAGCAGGACCACCTAGGGAAAGAGACAGGGACTTTAGAACAGGAGAGGCCAGTTTCTGAGTGTAGGAGCCTAGGACAGGGCTGGCAGGTGAGCCTGAAGGAATGATGCCAGCTGTGTACAGGGAGGAGGGACAATGCCACCACCATGGAGAACCGGAGGGCAAAACTGTCCTTGGACTCATGTCTCTGCTCACTGTGGAGCAGTGAGGGAACAGGGGTCAGAAGAGAACTGAGTGCAGGGTGCTTAGAAGCAGATGCATCCTTGACTCACCAGCAAAACTGACTTGTGCCTTTTCTATAGGAAAAACATTTAGGTCTTTGCAACATGGAACTTAAAAATACCTAATGAAGTGGTGTGTTCTTACAACTGCTTCAGCCTGCCAGACGTGGTCTCAAACTCCAGTTCTGCCACCTTTTTGCCCTGTGCCCTCAGTTGTTGCAGAGGTCATGAGGAGTACTGGACAGCACAGAGCTAACATTTACTGGGCACTATTATGTGGCCTACTTGAGTAAGCCACATTCCTGAAGAAATCACATGGCCCAGCAGGTTTCAATGTACACAGTGTGTTACACACGGTCACGTACGTCATCAGTCATCAATGGTTTACGAGAAATCAGAACTGACTGCAGTGGAAATGGGGGTGGGGAGCACAGAGGAACAGAGACAGACTTACTGCCACTCCAGTTAAAGCTGTGAGCACTCCGGAAAAGAACCCCCCTCCTCTCTGCTGATTCACTCGGCCCGTGTTGGGAGTTAAAGGGATCTGATCATTCCCATATTTTTGAAAGGCTGCGAGACTTTGGACTATGTCATTGTTCTGTTGAATGTCTTCAAATCTCATCCTAATAGCATCAGGAAATAACTTTTCAATGGCATCCCTACGGAGAAGAGAGGAAAATCACAAGACAAGTGTTTGATGAAATTAAATATAATGATGAAATTAAATATAAGGCCAAAATAAAACCAATAGCCAATATTTAATAATGATCAGATGCCTAGGAGAAGGACAAAAATACCTGCTATAGATCTGATGGTAAAACACTAGAAACAATTGCTAAATGGCCAGATGAGGTGGCACATGCCTGTAATCCCAGGGACTCAGGAGGCTCAGGCAGGATGATCACCAAGTTCAAGGCCAGCCTGGGCAACTCAGTGAGACACTGGCTCAAAAAATTTAAAAAAGAAATGGAAATCTAGCTCAGTGGTAAAGCCCTCCTGGGTTCAATTACCAATACCCTCCAAAACACAAAGACAAACAAAGCAAAACAGTGCTTGCCTCACATGCCACAAGCCCTGGGTTCAGTCCCCAGCCCAATAACAACAACAAAAAAATACTTTTAAACACATATGTGCTAATAGAAAATACAAATGTTTTCTCACTTCAGTGGCATACTATCTGGGTGGTTCTTCAATATACTGTTTTTATTCAATGTTATGTATGTCTCAAATTTATCTACCTTACAACTGAGCTGTATCCCCATACCCAAAAGTATTTTTAAAAATATGAAAGAAACAACAACTAAGTCATAAATAAAATTACTCTGGGGAAAAAGAAGAAAAGGTCTAAAATGGGGGAGAAAAGGCCAAAGGGGTCTTTGGCTTGATCGATAATATTCCAGTATTTCTCTGCTTAAAAGAATGAAAATAATGAATGTACATATGCATTACTTATGTCATTAAAGATTAGTTTGTGAGGAGGGAAAAAAGCAAAGTTCAGTAGGAAGAGAAGGCCCACACCAGGTTTTACGGGAGAGCTGGCTCTTTTCATTTTCTTTTTTGGTACTGGGGATTGAACTCAGGGGCACGTGACCACTGAGCCACATCCACAGCCCTATTTTATATTTTATTTAGAGACAGGGTCTCACTGAGTTGCTTAGCACCTTGCTTTTGAACTAGAGATCCTCCCGTCTCAGCCTCTTGAGCCACTGGGATTACAGGCATGCACCATGGCGGTCTGCTTCTTTTCATTTTTAATCACACAAAATCAGAGACCCATCCTTCTATTTAAGATTAACCTTTAGGTAAAGCAAAGTTGACAGGAACAGAAAAAAAAAGAGGATGCGGGGTTAATGATTTCATGAAGCATTCTGTTACTCTGTTGATATCAAGACAGCTGGACACACTGTTAAGGCTTCAGAAGAGGGGAATCCTGAGGAAGCCAGACAGGCCTGGAATGCCTCCCAGGACTTTATCACTGTAGAGAAGGAGGAGAGAACCAGCTACCTGAAAGGTCCTCCAATTGGCCATGTGTGAGAAACTCAATGTGATGATGGGCACAGAGTTTATTTAAAGATTCTGAAAATCAATATCAGTTAATCATAACTGTATAGTGTCACCATTTTGTCTATTAGGGTGTTCTCGGTAATAAAAAAAAAATCAGTAAGTATTATATAACATAGGACTATAAAGCAATGGTGTGACAACCGAATTTATTTCGTTTCTTCATTCAGAATAAATATAAACCAAGCTAGGCAGTGACTCTGGAAGGCCAGCCTCGGCAATTTAGTAAAACCCTGTCTCAAAACTAAAGATAAATAAATAGATAGACAGACAGGAGGGCAGTTTGGAATGTGGAATAAAGGATAGACCAATGACAGTCAGCTGTGTGGAAGGGAACTTGGATTTTCAGGTCCTGAGCTCCCTGACTCTCAGTCTAGCAGATCCAGAATGACCACCATGGACAGCTCCAAGCCTGCGGGCTTTACAAACATGCCCACTGCCACTAAGAAGCCACACTGCAGCAGCTGCGCTACCCAGGCAATCCCGACATACCTGAGGAGAATGTTGACTTTGGGGAAACCTTCCCATTTTTCTCTGCATTCTGGACACTCTGTTTTCTTTGAAGACACCCACCATAAAGCGAGGCAGTGCCGGCAGAAGCTGTGCCCACAGTTCAAGGTGGTCGGGTTAACCAGGATATCATAACAGCAATGGCAGGAAAATTCACTAACAGAAATCTGAGGGCCCATGCTTTTGAGAGGGTCATCTTCCAGGCCCACTGTGGTGGCATCGTTTTTCTGAGGCTCTTCCATCTTTCAGCAAATTCTGGGACCCACAGACACAGAAAACTTCAGACTTCGGAGATGGCAGCAAGGCATTATCAAATCTAGGGGAAAAAAGCAGTAAAAACACAACAAACAGTAGTTGTTGGAGGTTACTGTCACTATATTAAAGCTCTAACTTCTGCTTTTATTTTACTTATGTTTTGCAGTGGTGGGGCTTCATTGAACCCTGGGCCTTGCTCATGATAGACAAATGATCTATCATTGACCTATACTCTAGCCCAAAGCTCCAAATTTTATATTTTTGGGGATGCTGGGAATTGAACACAGGGCCTTTCACATGTTAGGCAAGTACTCTACCAGGGAACTACATTTTCTGTTTTATTCATCATAAGTTTCAACGTGTGATGAAGTATAGTTGTGGGTAGACCACAGAACTCAGGATCTTTTACTAATGTCCTTTCAAAATGTAGGGTGTTTTTTTGCCTCAGCATTCTCAGCTCCTCCATCATCCCATCCAATACTCACTCTCTTTTTTGGGGAGGGTGCTGAGGATTGAATCCAGGGGAGCTTGACCGCTGAGCTACATCCCAGTTCTTTTTATTTGGAGACAGGGTCTCAAGAAGTTGCCCACATACAACCTGTATGCGCTAGGATTACCTCAGGATTCCAATTACATTTCGAAAGTCCTTTCTAGGGTATGATTTTCAGTAACTAGCTTCTTGGTCCAATAAAATGTCTGGAGCTGGGAACAACACATCTACATCAAGTAAATGAAATACTTTGTCTACAACAACTTGCCTTTTTATGAGGCAATTATTATTTCATAAATTACTTGATTCCAGGGGCTCTAATTAGAGCAATTCCAGGGAGTAAGGGAAGCCCTGTTTTCAGGTGCCCTAGCCAGGCCAACTTCCCATGATTTGATATCCCCTCTTTCCCCAAATTAACCAGAACATGTGTACTCTGCCCTCTGGATTTGTCAGTTTGGTGCCACAGAAACACTCTAATGTTGCAAAATACGCAAACGTCAATGGAGCATTCTCTTTTCATGCTCATCTGGAGATCCCACGCAGCACGAAAGCAAAGGCCTTGGAGTTAGAACCTCAACTCCCCAGTTCTGTCTCTGCACAAGTGACCAAGGTCTCTGAGCCGTTTTCTCAACTGTGGAACGTGGCTAACAGTTCATGGACCTTCAAGCCTTCTTATGAGGACTAGACAGTAAAGAAAAGAGGCTAGGATGGCATACGGTAGAAACTGAGGCTAAAGAAATGATTGTTCTTACTCTTTCTGGTGTTGTGGTAAGAGTTTCTCCCTCTCATTATTGTGGCTTAAATTATTATTTTTAATGATTTTTAGTTATAAAATGACTGTGGAATCCATTTTGATAAAATAACACATGCATAGATTATATCTTATTTTAATTCGAACCCCATTTTGTGGATGTATACAATAGTGGGATTCACTTATTTTCATATATACATAGGAAAATTATGTCAGATTCATTCCACTGACTTTCCTATTCCTATCTCCCTTGCCTTCCCTTCATTCCCCTTTGTTTAATCTATTCTGTTCAATCTCATTATTGTGAAGAATAGACATCACTCTCCACCATCCACACTGGCCACTCCAAGCTTTGGAGTTACAGTGGTTAAGAACACAGGCCTTAGCTGGGTACAATGGTGTACACCTGCAGTCCCAGGAGGCTGAGGCAGGAGGATCAAGAGTTCAAAGCCAGCCTCAGCAACTTAGTGAGGCCCTAAGCAACTCAGCCAGACTCCGTTTCTAAATAAAGAAAATCTAAAAAAGGCCTGGGGATGTTGCTCAGTGGTTAAGCACCTCTGGCTTCAATCCTCAGTACCAAAAAACAAACGAATGAACAAAAAAAACCTTTGCAATTCTCCTGCCTCAGCCTCCTAGGTTGCTGGGATTTTAGTGGCTGTACCACTGTGCCCAGCTACTGAACTATTTTAAATTATAATGTGTGACTTTCATAATAATCACAATAATATTATACAAAGCATGTTATATGGCTTTAGGTCAAACACTAATGGGAGATTTCAACTCAGAGAATAAAACAAATACATTTTAAACTCAGTATTAGAAATGGGATAGAAGTCTCTCATCCAGTACTAAAAAGGTAAGTACCTAAGGTACTTATAAATTTCATAAATAATAAATAAATTTACTCAGTAAATGACGATAGTAAAAAGGGGCCCAGCCTTCTGTACAGACTCATTAAAAACTGTTCTTTTTGGAAGAGAGTCTTAAAAAATAAACATTTTTAACAAATTCTAGACTTACACACACACACACACACACACATCAGGTAAACTGTTGCCATTTATGGCATACTTACCATATGCCGGACAATCATATTATCTCATTATTCATGTTTAGGAACATTTAAAATTTTTCTAAGTGCTTCCCTTTGGGCAGCCTCTTCAAACTGCTAAGGAAGTGGAAGATATCTCATAAAGGTTTTAAAAAAGAGAATTACTTTGATACAGTAGTTCCTTTATTGTGTTAATATTGGTGAAAGAACTACCACATGGAGAGCATTATCATAGGAGATAATAAAGAGAACACACTATTCCTTGGGCTGGGTCCTGGGCCAGTCCTTGAGATATATGTAGGGGCATGTGTGGATTTGTGTCAGAGGGATGGTAGAGACTTCTGTGCAAGGGCTGGGCCTGCTTAGGGCACCGACTGTGTCTTCACTGAAAGCACGAGAGACACAGCTGAGCTCCAGTGCTGCTGCAGGGTCTCCTGTGCCAGGTTAACTAGAGGTGGGCACATAGGAGAGCGATCAGTGAGGCTGCACTTCAGGAGGATAAATCTCATTGAAAAGGGAAGAGGGTCTGGAAACAAGAACAATAATTAGGGAAAGTTAGAAATGAGGTGTTACCGCTTCTGGGACAAGGCAGCAAAAAAGAAAGCCTGGGGGCTCGGGATGTAGCCCACGGGTAGAACATTTGTGCAGCATGTACAAGGCCCTGGGTTCTATCCCCAGTTCCAACAAAAGCCCAAACCCAAAGGAAAAGAAAGAAAAAAGAAAGAGATGAATCTATTCAAGAAAATAGTTTATGGGCTTTAGTGACTAGAGAAAGAATGATCAAAGATGGTGGCAAGGTTTCAGAATGAGGGAGGAAAAACTGTACTTCTGATAGAAATTCAGTTAATGTAAACAAATTGGTGTCAGTCTTGGAAATATAACTTGAATTTTAGAAAAGTTGAGAGTTTGAGGTAATTACAAGACCCCAGGTAGAAATGTCTAGTGAGTAGCTAGAGATAAAAAACTGCAACTGGGAATGAGAATGAGACTAAATCTATGGATGTCAGCTACTTGCAGGGAATTATAAACAATGTATATTGAAATTCATTTCTCATGAAGTACCCTTTTAAAAACTAGAATACACTAGCAGTTCCTCACCTACCAGATCCGAAAGTTTATTTTTCGTGGGGGAAAACAAATCCCACACTGACATCAAAGGTGTACTTCATAAATTTTATTTTGCAAAGCTGGGAGTGGCCATTAACTATTTTTTTAAGTGCAAATGAGAAGCTGCACCGACTTTGAGCTCTTCTGAGTTCTGCTAGTTTCATTTTACTAAAAACACAAAAACTAAAAGCTAACAGAGAAAGAGTACACATCCTTTGTCAAATTCAGTTGTTCTTTCCCACTCCTTCTGTTTGGATGTATTGGAGTCATTTCTACTAATGAAAGAAAGTAGTACTTTCAAGAGGAGGAGCAAGCAGGCCTCTTAGTGATAAAACCTAGCTTGGACACTAGAGTTACAAGCTATTGTGTTCTGACTTGGGTAAACACACCCTAGTTCCTTGGCAGTGCTTAACAGTCTCTTTGAGGAGAAGGTCCATTCATCCTGAGGATGTTTACAGCTGTTCTCTGCAAATGTGAGCAGCATGGCAGCAGCTCTTCCTGAGTTATTTCAGAAGAAGCATGTTTTAAAATGCTACTCTCTGCTGCTATTCTTCTCCCCTGTCTTCCCTTTGTCTCAAAGGCTTTGGAGAAGACTGGGGAGACTTTGGTAGGACTGGGAGAAAGAGAATCATTCCATTCCCACCCTGGTGCCCTGTTCACATGGATACACTGCTGTTTATGAAATCAGCAGCATTCACCACCTAGGGCAAAACTAATGTGTAGGATTCCTGAGTTTGGGAAAGTCTACAAAACAAGAAACTGAAGCAAGTTTCACATGCTAGGCTGAACACCACAGGACTGCAGCAAAAGCACAGTTGCTATGAGGCTGAGCCACTCAAAAGGTTTCTGATTTTATGGTGGGTCCTTATCTGCCCAAGAGCTCTTTAGGTTTGACTTCCATGCCCTGCCTAAATGCAAGGCATTTCCTTGGCTGGAAATCTGGAGATTTTACTAGATTCTTAGAAGGGACCATGACACAGATTAAGTTAAGAACTACTGACATTCCCTGTGATAAAAGGTTCCTAATGAACTACCCTCTCCTGCCTCCTGAAGTGGTTACAACGGACCAGGTGAGTCTTTCACAGTGATACAACACCTGCCAGGGGCACCCATCCTCTGGGTCCCGGACAGTCTCCCACCAGTAGCCACCACCAGCCTGGGACAGTGTTCAGCCTGTAAGCAGCCTTTGTTTATTGGGGTGTTCTCTCTTTCTTTCTTTTTTGAAGACTGGGTCTCATTATGGTGCCCAGGATGGCCTCCATGGGTTTAAGTGATTCTCCCACCTCAACCTCCTAAGTACTGGAACTACAGGTGTGTGCCACCACATCTGGCTTCTTATTTTTTAATTGATTTTGGTACTAACATTAAAAAAAAAAAAAAGCCTGGGTTCATATGTCAGAAGATTGACAATGCTGGGGTCTAGTTCTGCATGATGGAATCAGTCAGAGCGGAGAAACTCTGGTCCCTCTATCAGGGCACGCCAGATGCAGTGGCTCCACTCCTCTCCTCTCTACCTCGGCTCTGTCACTTCCCTGACCTTCCCTCGAAGGGACCATGACACAGATTAAGTTAATGTGAAATTCACACAGTGTGCTGCCTTCAGAGTCGATGGATGGTACACGACTGTTTCTGGGCTATCTGGCTTTAGGCCAGTCAGCTTTT